TGTGTCTCTTGTTTATGGGCAGAGCGAGAACTTTGTTCAAAGAGCTGCAGGCTTTCTCCATCCTTTATGCCAGCAAATAACTGTAAACCAAGAGGAATCATATGAATAAGTAAAATCAGCTTCCAGGCCAGTCTATAACAAACAATGTAGAAATTCTGCTAAAAACAAATTTTTACTCCAAGTTACAATGTGGGAATAAAACCCATTACGTTTTACAGTCAATAAATAGCTGAAAACTAACATTTAGTACCCACTTTGAACAAGGCACTATACTCAATGCTGTGCAGAATTTTAAGGAATTAAAACACACTGTTCCAACCCTCACTGATTTCTCCTTCCACATTAGCCTGAACTTATAGTCATTTTCTAACAAAAGACATGATGCGCTCCAGTATGGTGGAAACACCTGTGAAGCAGCCTTTCCTACTCTAGAATTCCACCCCTGAGTATCTCACGGTGTCCTTATAGTGACACTAGAGTCTAGGTAACACAGTATAGTCTTGGGATGAAATGCCATAAAGTCCATGATGGCAGGAATCATGTTGGATTTTGCTAACCCTGTATCTCCAAAGCACAGGACATGGTCTGAAACATATTTCTGCCACTTACTATCCATGTAGACTTAGGCCAGTGATAAGATGGCTAGGCCTCAGGTAATGATCCATAAGATGGGAATAATAATATTAACTTATTAGATTTTATGATAAGTAAATAAAATAACGCATGAAAAGCATACAGGACCTGGCACATTGCAATGGCTAAACAAATTTACTCATTATTAACCTCATCATTATTAGTCATGGTTGTTATTAGTCATGAGCTGCTAAGCACTCCCATCTTTAGCAACATAGCAGATCTTTATTTGCTATCTGCTAAGGGACTTGATGAAGACGGAGAATTGAGCAAATAAGTCTATCGTTCCTCCCATCTAAAATCCCATAAAATCAAAGATTTAAATTTTTTAAATAAAAGTATGAATTAACTTCCATTTCTACTAATGTCGGTAATTAGAATCAACATTCCTGATAAATGCAGCTAAGAAACAATAAAGTTTTTTTAAAGCATTGAAGAAGTAAACACAATAGAGAGGAATTACCAAACAAAACTACAAAAAAAGCACAAAGCCAGAGAAAATCCCAGCATGTAGCCAGAGAGGAGCTCTGAGAATATTTGCCTGTCAGATATATCAGCTAAAAAACTGAACACTGGTTGAGACAGCTTACCATTGCAAGTGAGACGAAAGTGAAAGCCCAGGGTCTAAGCTGGAGAATAAACACAAAAGTAAAGCAGTTCGGTATAGACTTGCGGTCAGGTGTTACGTTCCCCAGGCAATACAGAGAAACTTGGGCTCTGAAAGTGGATAATACCAGAATGATAGTACCTCTAAGTATCTGGCAGAATCAAACAAAAAGCTTTTGTGAAAATAGATTTTATCATTCTAAGCCTCAAAATACTCTTAAAAAGCTGAAAACAATGATAACTGCCAAGATTTGTATCTTCCAATACTTCCTCTAAAAACAGTTAAGAAGAACAAACAAAACTTAAACACCATGCCTTTAGTATAACTTGAAGACAGAGAGTACCCCAATCTTCAAAATAACTATATGTAAAAAAGGAAGGAAGGAAAGAAAACCAAAAAGCAAACCCATTGCCATTGACTCGATCTTGACTCATAGCAACCCTACAGGACAGAGTAGAACTGCCCGTTAGGGTTTCCAAGGAGTGGCTGGTGGATTCGAATTGCAGACCTTTGGTTACCAGCTAGGAAACCCTGGTGGCATATGGTTAAGAGTTCAGCTGCTAACCAAAACGTCAGCTGTTTGAATCCACCAGCCACTCCTTGGAAACCCTGTGGGACAGTTCTACTCTGTCCTATAGGGTCGCTATGAGTCGGAATCATCTCAACGGCAACAAGCTTGGTTTGGTTTGGTTTTTTGATTAGCAGCTGAACACTTGAGAGAGCTCTTATACTCCCACCCTACTATAAGACTTTAGGTAAGCGAGGGCAAGCTAATAAAAAATGAAGGAAAGAAAGAAAAGGGCAACTAGTGAAGGGCTAAGATTGATCTAAGACTACCATCAGAAAGAGTAAGTCACCCTAAACATGAATACCATAAAAAGGTATCCTAGTAGATCAGAGCAGGGACTATAGAAAAGTGTGGCTAATTTGAAGTATCAGTCTTCAGAAAGCTATTAATAGAACATAAAGGAGTTAAAAAAAAAAAAAAGTGAAATTGCCCTTTGGCAATTGGGTGGGGAAGAAGAAAAGAGATAATTTAGGATCCTACAAGAGAAAATAAAAATAAAAAAATTACAGGACTTAAACCCATTCCCCAACTCTAACCAAAAAAAAAAGAAAAAAAAGAAATTCCACCAAGGAATCTGTGCTTTGCTACACGGACAGAAGAGGACACCAGAGAATTAGGAAATCTTCTAAATAATCAAAAATCTACAAAATGGAACAGAAGAAAATGCAATAAATCTATATAGAGTTATTACAAAAAAAAAAAATCAGAAACCTGATTCAACACAGCCCAACTGATGAAAATTTACCCTCTCCCAAATAAATAAAACCAAGAAGCAGAAGAATAATGTAAGACAACACTTCAAACTCAACTAAATAGGATCAGACAATCATTTGAGGATATAAAGCACTGCTTGAATCAGAAACTCAAAAATTAAACAATCATTTGAGGATATAAAGCACTGCTTGAATCAGAAAGTCAAAAATTAAGAATAGAAATAGATGAAAAGCAGGAAGAAATGAAGAGTTAACTGAACTCAGGAACTAAATAGAAGAAAAAACAAAATCATCTCAGAACTGAAATCTAAATTACAAACTATGCAAGGGATAATAAACTCAATGAAAATTTAATAAGGAACATTAAAAGAAGGCAAGAAAATAACCAAGAGAAAGACAATGAAATAAAGAAATTCAGAAAGAAAGTGGTGAAAATAGAAGACAGGCAAAGAAGGAGTAACATTTGTACAGTAGAATTCCCCAAAAGAAGAAAAACAAAGCAATGGAACAGAACTAATGGGCACCTGAGAAAATCATTACCTGAGAAGATGACACACCCTAGTAAAACAATTAGCCATCAAAAATGAATTTAAAAAAATCCTCAAGGCCTCCAGGAAAAAAGTTCAAATAATTTAGAAGGGCTAAGCAATTCGATCAGAATCAGATTCTTCAAAAACAATACACAAAGCAAGGCAACAATGTTGCCACAGTTTCAAAAAACTCAACAAAACAAAACCAAAAAAAAAAAAAAAGTGTAGACCAAGAATTATATATCCAGCCATGCTGTCCTTTAAGTATCAAGTCTATTTATTTATTTTAGAATTTAAGAAATCAAATTTACTTATTTTTTTAATTGTGCTTTAGATGACGATTTACAGAGCAAATTAGTTTCTCATACAAAAATTTATACACATTGTTATGTGACACTAGTTGCAATCCCTATAATGTGACAACACACGTCTCCCTCCACCCTGGGTTTCCTATGTCCATCCAACAAGCTCTTGTCCCTTCCTGCCTTCTCATCCTGCCTCAGCAGAGGAGCCGCCCATTTGGTCTTGTGTATGTGCCTGAACTAAGCATGCTCTTCACGAGTATAAAGAACTCTTAAAAGCTGAACAAAGGGCCAAAAACTCAACAGAAAAAAAGAGAAAAGTAAATGAACAGATAATTCACAGAGAAAAGTAAATGAACAGATAATTCACTGAAGTATTATATAAAAATGACCCTTAAACATATGAAAATGAGTTCAAACTTAAACAACACTAAGATATTAATTCTCAACTATCAAACTGACAGAAATTAAAAAGCAAGATAACACATTATTTGGTGAGGCTTGGGAAAGCATGCATTCTAATACATTGTTGGTGAAAGTAGAAATTGTAGAACTTTTTTAAAAGGGAATTTGGCAGTATTCAGCAAAACTACATTTACATTCACCTCCTGACCCAGCTCTTCTACTTCAAGTAATTTACCCTGAAGGTATATTTCCAACAATTTAAAAAAGAATATGTTATGTCTCCTTGGTTTCTTACATAAATTAGATGATTCTTCGGTGTTTGTCAATCACGACTTTGACACTTTTGAAGAGCACAGACCAGATGTCTTGTAGAATGTCCCTCAATTTCACTTTATCCCATGTTTTCTCACGGTCGAATTCAGGTTATACATTTCTGGTAAGAATACTTAAGGAGTTATGTTGTGTACTTGTCAGTGCATCATATCACCAGGCACATAGTATCTATGTGTGTCATTTCCAGTGATGTTAACTTTGATCACGTGGTAAAGATGGCATTAGCTAGGTTTCTCCATCAAAAAGTTATTATTTTTCTATTTGTAACTGATAAATTTCTTACTGGAAAATACTTTGAGACTATATAGAAGTTGGAGGTTTGAGTCCACCCTGAAGCACTTCAGAAGAAAGCCTGGTGATCTGCTTATGAAAAATAAGCCACTGAAAACTCCATGGAGGAGTTCCGGCAAAATGGCGCTATAGGCAGAAGCACCACGCCATCCCTCCACAGCAAAGATCCGAAAAACTAAGCCGAACAGAGAATTCAACAATACTGAAACCTTAAAACATCAAATGAAGAGATAAAGAAATTAGCCAAGCACCAACTAGAGTGAGAAAACTGACAGAGAACGGAGAGCGAGGAGAGATTCATGCAGAGGTCCCCTACCAGCTAACGCACTGCGGATCGGCCATCTTGGACTCCTATCAGAGACCAGGGGGTACGAGAAAGCAGCTTCATGGAGCTTCCAGCGGGAGACAAAACCACCGGTAATTTGCAATATACGCTTTCCCACTGCCCACCCTTCTTCACCCCATCTCGGCCTCCTCTGCTTCCCG